TAAACTTTGTGCAGGGAGGGTCCCCGTTTTAGTTCACCCATCCCTGTATAGAGCTTTTGAAATTAACTTTCCCCTGGGATATCGGTGGAATCTCCCAAGACGGTACCATCAAAACTGAAATGGGCCATGGGTCTATGGGAGAGGCTGTCGGTATCCTTACCCCCCATGTTTAAAGCAGGTAAACAACCCTAATCGGACTTCTCAATGGCTCTCTGGTTAGCTACGTTAAATGTGCGGGCCTGAGGTCCGAGTCTCGCAGGGCGAGGCTCTCTCGTGACCTTCAGCGCCTCGGGGTGAATGTTTGTTGTGTGCAAGAGACCCGGTTTTCTTCTCATGACCGTGAGGATATACTGTCTAGAGGTTCGCCCTTTATTCAGCATGTTTTGATGGTCGTTCGAGGGGTGTCTCTTGGCTAGTGAGCAGGTCTTTGAAGGCTGCTTGTACCCTTGTCTTCGCAGATCCGGCGGGCAGACTTTGTGTGCTGGATGTTGACTATAAAGGATAAGGCTTTACGTCTCATTGGGGTTTATGCGCCCAATAGTCATACTGAGCGGCCTGCTTTGTTTCGGCAGATCGAGCCGTTTTGACGACTTCTCGTCAGGTAGTCTTAGCGGGGGATTGGAATGCCGTCCTTGACCCCGATATAGATCGTATAGGTAAAAACCGGGTACTAACAATCCTGATGTGAAGGCATTTCGGGGCTTTATCGGCAAGTTTGATCTTGTCGATAAGTACCGGAATGAGCACCCTCAGGAGGTAGCATGGACTTGGACAACTAGTGGCGACTCGGATCCTGGCTCGCTTGCGAGCTACCTGGACCGAGTGTTAGTTAGGAGAGTCGATGTAGGGCTCTTAGAGTGTCCAAGTTTCCACTATATAGTTTATACGGATCATAGGCTTGTCCGGGTCCGTGTAAACTTAGATAAGCCTAAGGTTAGGATGGCTGGTTACTGGAAATTTAACTGTTCATTATTTGGTGAGCAGGATTTCCGGGACCAGCTGCTACTAATGATTCAGAGGGAATTGACGGGGGCGGTTGTGGGAAACGCCTGGTGGGGAAAATTAAAATCTAAGATTAGAACGTTTGCTGCCGATTTTAGTCGTCGACTCAATCTAGATAGATTAGCGGCGCAAACGGCTTTAGAGGAAAAGGTCGATCGGGCTGTTAAATCCCGTGTTAGTGGGGACATAGTCTTAGCTAAGGCAGAGTTGGCCTCCTTGCTTATCAAGAAGGATCAAGCTCTGGTAGTTAGGGCTAGGCTAAAAAGAATGTCTTCTGAGGCGACGAATATGGCCGCAGAATTGCGCGCAGAGGAAAATCGGAACGCGGATAAGCGACATATAGCGTGCGTCACATTGCCGGATAAGCGGACCGTGACTACTAGCGCGGGCATATGCGAGGCCTTTCGGCTTTACTTTCAGGATCTTTTCACCAGGGAGCCCGGTCTGAGCTCTGCTCAGTTCGATGCCTATTTGGCTGACTTTCCCTGCCTTGAGGCAGCTGAAGCGGCTAGGTGCGAGGGTCCCATAACAGAGTCGGAAATCTGGGATGCGCTGAAGCAGGTTGGCCTGGATAAGTCTCCGGGACTAGATGGACTTCCCTACGAAGTGTACTTGAGGCTGTCGCCCGTTTTTGTTCCTTTGCTGCAGCTGATTTACAACCACTGGATGAGGCAGGGGTCTTTACCTCGACGCTTCACCAGGGGTGTGATCAAGTTGTTGCGTAAGGACAAGAACGGTGGGGATGGGTTAGGAACTTTCGCCCTTTGACGATGTTAAATACTGACTTAAAGATTTTGGCGAAGATCTTAGCCAACCGTTTGCAGCTTGTCCTGTCTCGTCTGATTGGCCCCGAACAGACTTGTGCTGTGAAGGGCAGGACGATTCAGGATAACCTTCATATGGTACGCTTGATCTTAGAACAAGTCGACAGTGAAGCCGCGCTGATCAATTTAGATCAGTCCAAGGCCTTCGATAGGGTTGACCATCGGTTTCTGGAGGCTGTCCTGTCGGCGGCCGGTTTCGGAGCCGACTTTCGCTCCTGGATCCGACTCTTGTATGCGACCCCCGGTGCGCTGGTGGAAGTGAATGGGGTAAGGTCGGAGCCTTTCGTATTGTCTCGCTCCATTCGTCAAGGTTGTCCGCTATCGCCCTTGCTTTACGTTCTTGCGTTGGAACCATTCCTTCGCAAGTTAAAGGCGAATCCGGTCCTGCGCGGAATTACCCTGCCTGGCGCTACCACCTCGGCCAGGTATTCTGCCTATGCTGACGACGTTTCGACTCTTGTGTCGAGCAGAGCCGAGATTGACGAAGTCAGCAAAGAAATAAGTGGGTATGAGATGGTGACAGGGGCCAAGATCAACCGTGATAAGTCTGTGGGCTTGCGGTTGGGTGCGTGGAAGGGAGTTTCTCTTCCCGGACCTTTCCTCTGGACGGATGGGCCGATGAAGATACTCGGCGTCTGGTTCGGTCCTGATCTCCAGTTGGAAATGAACTGGTCGGAGGTACAAGGAAGGCCGAGATCGCGGTTAATCTGTGGTCTCGGAGGAGACTTCCCCTGAAGGGAAGGGCGGAAGTATGTGTTTCACACATCTATCCGATCCTCCTCTACCGACTCTCTGTGCTTCCACTCCCGTATGCCCGACTAATGTCATTAGTCAGGACCTTGTTCTCTTTCTTGTGGAGAGGCAAGGCCCCTTTGGTATCTCGCGAGGTCTGTTGCCTCCATCCCTCTGAGGGCGGTCTGGGGATGCCTAGCATTGAGATCCGTCAATATATGCTTCGCATTACCTTTTAGACCGAATGTGTCGTGGGTCGAATGAGGAGGGTGCCTTTTGGAAAGAAGACGTCCAGAAACATTTTCCAACCCTGAAAAGTGTGCACTCGTGCGAACAAGAGGCCGGCCGTTTACCACGTGCCGAGTGCTCTTTTTTATCGTGAATGTCGTCGCGCTCTGAAGCCCTCTTACGGGCTTCGGATGGTCTCCTCAACGCCCAGGCGTTGTCTCGCAAGGCATTATATCAAGTTTTAGTTAGGGGGTCCGTACAAGATGATCTGATTGGCGAGCTCGGTCTTACGAAGCAGGAGGCTCGCTCGATATGGCCTTGGGCGCCCGGGTTGAAATGTCTCAATAACGATGAGGCATCACTCACCTGGCTGGTGATTCGTGAAGCCCTCTGGGTCGGCAAGAGACTTTGTTCAGCAGGCTTGGAGAAATATCCAAACTGTCGTCGCTGTACGGGGAAGTCGAGACTATTGGTCACGCCTTCTTTCAGTGCAGGGCGGTAGTGCCGTTGTGCAAGTTTGTTGAAGGCCTCATGGTTCGCATGCTGCATAGAAAGTTTTTGTCCTGGAAGCCAGTTCTGTTTGTAGCAATGTGGTGCCGCAGATGACGAAGGCTGAACACTGTGTTCTGTTGCTTACTAGGGGTTATGAGAGTCGTGATTTGGACGACGCGTCAGAAGGGATTTCATGAGGGCGAGAAGTTCACTTCTTCCCAACTGATCTTGTTCTTTAAGCATCAGCTTAAAGTCAAGATCAGGACGGAAAGGCGGCGGCTCACCTCATCGGAATTCAGCAAAGGTGGGTGATTCTTGCGCGAATGTGCCGAGTAAAAGGGCTGACCTTGAGTGGCATTTGGATGCCGGTTAGGCATTAAGATATTGTTTTCCTGGGTTGAACATAGGCAACCCATCCCGGAGTTAGATTAGATTAGGTTTTTTGTATTTTTTCTTTTAGTTTTTCTATTCTGGTAAACTTAGCTAGGGTGTATTTGCTCATTGGTCCCTTTTATTTCTGTCCCCATTTTCTTTTCCTTTAGTTTAACTCCCCATCCCCTCCCTCGTTTTAGGTGGTCAGTGATGTCAGTTCTCTGGTAGATGCGGGGCGCTTTTCGTTTTCGTGCGTGTGCTTTTCGTATTTGTTGTTGTGTATGAATGAGTGTGTGTCTGTGTGAATGCTTGGGATGAATGAGTGTGGCTTTATTTTTCATAAGTCCCGCATCGATTTCGTCCGGTTAACTGATATTTCTGCCACATTCAATAGTTTGTGGGGGGTTTTATTACTAACACTAATTTTATTTGGTTTCTTGTAAATATTATTCTGTCATTTTGTATATATTTCATTGGGGATCTTTTTAGAAGTTGTTGTTTTTATGCCCCTCCCCCCCACAGACAATATTTGTACATAAGGGGATTATTTAGGTTTTTTCATGGAGTCAAAGAGGCATTTTGGTGTATGTAGTATGGAAGGTATGGTTAAATGTGTTGTTTTGGTGAAAGGAATATTGTTCAGTATGATAGGGTCAGTGGATGTGGCTAGCTAAGTTTTAATCTAAGACAAGTGATGACCGTCCTTTTACCCCAGCCCCTTTTTCGGCCTTGTGCCACATTTGTACCTTAGTACAATAAATAATGTCAGGACTCCACACTCGGAGAGATGCCAACCAATTCCACGCCAATTTAAACTGACTTTTCCGCGCGAATTAACCTGACTCAACAACCTAATGGTTTACTCAATCTCTCTTTAAAATAAACTTCTCAAAAAATTCATTTACTTTACTTGAGAAAGTGGAATATATATTCACTACATAATTAGTAACAGTAACAAACAAAACTTTCAACAAATAACAGTTCAAGGTACGCAACTTCGTACGACTTAAGAATATTTACAATAACACTCGTATACACACATTAACATTTGAACTGTAAAATCAAACACTTTTGTACGTTGAACAGCAAACTGTTTAATTCTTACCATAAATCATCAAAACATTGATTTAAGCATTCAAACATAATCAACAACAAACTACATGTCTTATTACACCAATATACGACAAATCACCAACTCATTTGTATGCATTCAACTTTTGTCTTGTTTAGTTTTTCCAACTTTATTTGCATGATTTGTTCTAAGTAATTGTTGTGGACGAATGTTTTAGAACACACCCTCGAAATTCCTTCTGATTAATAAAAACACAACAACCAGTCCGCAACAAATTGATGACCCCCGACGTTCGTCGTTGCCAACAAATTGGTAACCACCGACGTTTGTACCAACAAAATTGCTATCTCCGACTTCTGAATAAGGCTACAACCATAACTGATAACCTCAGTCGACATGGCAGATCCTATACAGCCAACCGAAGCTACACTCAGGATGGAACTCCCTACCTACAACATGAATGCACAAACATGGTTCATACAACACGATGCGATTTTCCAAGCCAAGTGACGTCCCAGCAGTCGAAATTCGCATTTGTGGTGGAGAAGCTTCCCGCTGAAATTGCTGCGGAGGTAGCGGATGTCCTTATTAATCTCCCGCCCGAAAAGCCGTATGAGGTGCTTCGGCAGGCAATCTTACAACGAACAGGCTGCTCCGAGGAGCGAAAGATTAAGGATCTTCTGACGAATGTCACACTCGGGAACAGCAAACCCTCCCAACTTCTTCGGAGAATGATAACGCTACTCGGTAACAACACTATATCCGAAACAGTATTGAAGCAAATGTGGCTGGAGAAATTGCAGCCTGATATCGTACAAATATTAGCAGTCCTAACTGAGGTCGATGTTCACAAATTAGCATCGATCGCTGATAAAATAGTAGACACGAGACCAATTCGCCAAATTTCCTCTGTCGCGCCATCAGATGACCCGACCCCGGATGTTAACCAGCAACTTCATGTTTTGACGGCCGAGCTAAAGAAGCTATCATTACGCCTCGACAGTATTCAAAGTATTCCTGGACGAAGTCGCAGTTATTCAACTAACAGACACAATACCAGTAGGCGGCGATCAACGTCGAGACAAACTCGTCACCATGAGAGGCTATTGCTGGTACCATGAAGTGTTTGGTGCCCGCGCAAGGAAATGTCAGTCACCATGTGCTTATAAAAACGCGGGAAACGCCGAACCTGGCAGCCATTAAAGGCGTTGGCCGCTAGGGCAGATAATGGAAATCGCCTATTCTACGTATTCGACAACAACAGCAAGTTAAAATTCCTAGTTGACACTGGCGCTCAAATCAGCGTTATACCGCTGAACTACTGTAACAAGTTATCAATAATACCCAGACAAGCCCAGCTAAAGTTACAGGCCGCAAACGGCACATACATAAACACGTATGGCGAGCGTGTCATGTCTCTAAGTATCGGCCTACGGAGGGGAGTATACATGGACCTTCACTATAGCCGATGTCGAGATACCTATTATAGGAGCGGATTTCCTCGCACACTTCAACTTGTCCGTCGAACTGTCAACTCGTACGCTTACCGATATGTGCACAGATGTACGACGACGAGGATTTTTATCCAAGCTTTCCACGATTGGACTAACTACTTTAATACCTAATGCAAATGGTTGCGAAGATTTGATTGAGCAGTACAAATCTCTTTTATCACCATTCACTCATACAGAACCCATAAAGCACAACACGACACATACAATTAAGACAACTGGACCCCCAGTCCACGTTTCACCCCGTCGTTTACACCCAACTAAATTACGGGTGGCTAAGGAAGAATTCGATAATATGCTCAAGATGGGCATAATAAGACCATCTTCCAGTCCTTATGCCACACCGTTACACATGGTCCCTAAGAGCGAACCTGATAGCTGGCGACCGTGTGGAGATTACAGACTCCTAAACGCTCAAACTGTGCCAGACAAATATCCAATTCCTCATATTAAGGACTTTGCTTTGTCCCTTGAAGGCGCTACTGTTTTCATCAAACTAGACCTACGGAAAGCTTTTTACCAGATCCCTATCGAACCGTCTGATGTTCATAAAACAGCGATTACGACACCGTTCGGTTTGTACGAATTTACCCGAATGCCGTTCGGACTCCGTAATGCTGCGCAATCTTTTCAGCGCCTTATCGATGAGGTTCTCCGTGGATTATCTTATGCATATGCGTACATTGACGACGTACTAATAGCAAGTAAAACGCCCGAGGAACATCGTAACCATCTACAGTCAGTATTTGAGCGGTTACAGCATTACGGACTGAAGCTGAACGTCGATAAATGCTTATTCGCTGTCCCCAAATTAACTTTCCTTGGCCACGTCATTGATAAGAATGGGTTAACTCCCCTAGACGAAAAGGTCAAGGCGATTAATGATTTCCCACCACCGTCAACATTACGACAGCTACGGCGATTCATAGGCATGATTAATTATTATCGCCGATTTATACGCGACTGTGCTATTCTACTTCTTCCACTGACAAATCTCCTTTCTAAGCACAAACAAAAAAACCCGAAGATTGTATTATCTGTGGACGAGCTGGATTCCTTTCATAGAGCGAAGCAAGCGTTGCAGGACTGTACCAAACTTGCGTATATTACATCTGCACCCGACGCAAAACTGACGCTAACTACCGATGCGTCGTCGGATACAGTTGGTGCAGTACTTCATCAGATAGTCAACGGTGTGGAAAGACCACTGTCTTTTTTCTCAATTAAGCTAAATACGGCCCAACGGAAGTACCTTCAGCCGTGAACTGTTAGCAATTTATTTAGCCATCAGACACTACCGGCACATTCTAGAAGGTCGTGATTTTTCCATTTTTACAGACCATAAGCCGCTAACATACGCCCTACATGCTAAGTCTGATAAACACAATCCGCGTGATATACGCTACATGGACTACATATCACAATTCTCATCGGATATACGCTACATTAGCGGAGCTAGTAACACCGTGGCCGATACTCTGTCTCGAACAACTCTCAGCGCAGTACAGAGTACCGCACTGAACTTTGATAATCTAGCTGACGAGCAAGCCAAAGATGAAACCCTGCAAGCTATTCACTCAGACACTTCTTTGAAAATTGAGAAAAGACCGCTCCCGTTTACGAGCAGGTCAGTTTATTGTAACACCAGCACGGGTAACCCGCGTCCGTACATTCCACCAAGTATGCGCCGTCTAATTTTCGAACATTTTCACTCACAAGCACACCCAGGAGGCAAGGCGACGTTGCGGACCATATCGGACAGATTTATCTGGCCCGGTATGGCAGCTGACATTAAGCAGTGGTCCCGCACGTGTTTACGTTGCCAAGCCACCAAAGTTGGTAGACACACGAGGGCACCTACATCAACCTTCGCCAACCCAGACGGTCGTTTCACCCATCTGCATGCTGATTTAGTGGGTCCACTTGAAAATGTGAACGGATTTGAATACGTTTTAACTGTAATCGATCGATTTACGCGATGGCCAGTTGCCATCCCTCTACAATCAACTACAGTTGAAACAGTGGCAAGTGCTATTTTTAACAACTGGATTACAACTTTCGGATGCCCTTCAGTGATCACTACCGATAGAGGTCCACAGTTTCAATCAGCACTTTTTAATGAGTTCACTAATTTATTAGGGATTAAACACATTTCCACTACAGCATATCACCCTTGTTCCAATGGCCTTGTGGAAAGATTTCATCGACAGCTTAAATACGCTATAACTGCTTTTACCAACGGCCGAACTTGGGTTGATAAACTTCCCCTGATCATGCTGGCTTTGAGAAACACTGTCAAGCAGGACCTGAACTGTACTAGCGCTGACTTGGTTTCGGACTCCCTAACCTTGCCAGGACAGATTTTCGGCCCTGTATCGGACAACCTACCTACTAGCCAGTTTGTTAGCGACCTCCGACAAAAAATGTCTGAAACAATTTATACGCCGACCAGAGCTTTTCACAGGCCTTATTACATTCCAACTGACCTGCATACGGCCAATTTCGTCTTTCTACGCCGAGATATGGTCCGTAAACCACTAACGCCTAACTACACTGGACCGCACCAGGTTATTTCTCGAGCGCCAAAATATTTCATTATAGATCTCGCCGGCAAGTAAACTACGGTCAGCATTGACCGCTTAAAACCAGCTTACATCAACAATGACGACAAAGCTGTGACCACTCAGCAAACTCCAGTTTCAGAGATTTTACACAAACACCCATCTTCTACGCCTGAACCGCAAATTAAGCCACCTACACGGACCAGGTCCGGCAGGCGCGTTCACTGGCCAGCAAAGTATACTACATTTTATACATATTAATGTCCAAACTACGCTGACCATTAATCTGGAGGGGGTATTTATAGAATCGTCAATGTTTGTCTACTCACCTTCGTTAAAAGTAGACTCTTCTATAAGAATTAGCTTTGATCAACACCACACATTGTGAAACTCGGCTTGTGATTGGTCGAGACGACCCTAGAATGTGTATCCATGGTCAAAAATCTGTTTTCGCGCCAGGACACTGGGAGCCTACTTTGGTTTCCCAAACTAAATAAAAGGACGAAATTCAGTCCAATTCACCAGTCAGGACTCCACACTCGGAGAGATGCCAACCAATTCCACGCCAATTTAAACTGACTTTTCCGCGCGAATTAACCTGACTCAACAACCTAATGGTTTACTCAATCTCTCTTAAAATAAACTTCTCAAAAAATTCATTTACTTTACTTGAGAAAGTGGAATATATATTCACTACATAATTAGTAACAGTAACAAACAAAACTTTCAACAAATAACAGTTCAAGGTACGCAACTTCGTACGACTTAAGAATATTTACAATAACACTCGTATACACACATTAACATTTGAACTGTAAAATCAAACACTTTTGTACGTTGAACAGCAAACTGTTTAATTCTTACCATAAATCATCAAAACATTGATTTAAGCATTCAAACATAATCAACAACAAACTACATGTCTTATTACACCAATATACGACAAATCACCAACTCATTTGTATGCATTCAACTTTTGTCTTGTTTTTCCAACTTTATTTGCATGATTTGTTCTAAGTAATTGTTGTGGACGAATGTTTTAGAACACACCCTCGAAATTCCTTCTGATTAATAAAAACACAACAACCAGTCCGCAACACTTTTATTCAGAAGTTGAAAAACTAAAAACTAGATTTTTAATATTAAACACAACTTCTTGATATTGCAAGTGAAGACTACAATTTCCTTTCACTAAACAAATTTCATTGAATTCTTCTCGTACAAATTTTCCAGTCTATAACACTTTTTTTTTATCGAAGAACATTTCTTTCATTGATACTGAACTTTATTTCATGAGACTGAAATCTTTTCTGTGAGTTATTTTCTTTTAAAAGACTAAAGTTAAAGGTAAATATCCCCTGCTATTAATTACATTTCTATATAAAAATCACACACTTGATTGTTTTGTATGCCATACAGTAAAAAATGAAGATTGTTTGTTATTATACAATTATTATTGTGCTGTTTGTCTTGCTTGCTTTGTAAAGTAAAACAATGTACGGATTGAATTAAGGCCGTTCAAACGCTACAATCACACTAGTGCTAATTTTAAGTAATTTTAAAATGTGAAGATATTTCAGCAATTTATTCCTTTTTTAAAAACAATATTAAATTTCATGTAGTAATAATATTACACCTTTTAAGCTATACAAAGTAGTTTCGCCCAGTCAGTGATTAGTTTAATGGAATCCTCTATATTTGCTACTCACCCCTGCGGAAAAATGCACTTTTCTCCCAAAGCAACTTTAACCAATCATTACTTCACTTTTCTAAACTTGACTTCTCATTGGTTAAAAGGACTCCAAAAATGTAGCAAGTTGCGACAAATTTGTTTTGCCGCTCAACTATCTGGAGACGATTTGAAACCCCAAAAATCAATAAATAGGATCGCTTCACCTGAATTCAGGCAGTCTGTAACTAAATCTTTGAGAGATGTCTTGAGCGACAGATCGGTTGAACTCTGCGTTCGGGCAGGGAGGAACCCGAAGGAGGCTACGCCGAAGGGCGGATTTTCTTTCGGGGAGGTAAACCGACTCTGAACCCGTTTAT